AAAAAAAAAAAAAAAAAAAAGATTTGTTTTAGCTAGGCACAGTGGTTTATGCCTATAATCCTAGCATTTTGGGAGCCTGAGGTCGGTGGACCTTCTGAGCTCAGGAGTTCAAGAACAGCCTCAGCAAGAGTGAGACTCTGTCTCTAAAAAATAGCAGGGCATTGTGGCAGGTGCCTGTAGTCTAACTACTCATGAGGCTGAGGCAAGATTACTTGAGCCCAAGAGTTTGAGGTTGCTGTGAGCTATGAGACCCATGGCACTCAACCCCAGGGCACAGAGTGAGACTGTCTCAAAATAATAATAATAATAAAAATAAAGGATTTGTTTTAAAGTTAAATTGTTTATATCTTACATTAATTATTAAAAAATAAAAGCATATACCATACACTTTACACTTTACTTGTTTAATGCATGCTATTATCATTATCATTATTATTGTTAAAGGACATTTAAAATAAATTTATTTTAGGGACAATTGTCATTACCTGGAATCTCCCTCTATTTTTTTCCTCGATACAGACCACAGTTTTAAATGAAGTTTATTTACACTTACCAATTCTTTTGGGCTGTCTATCTTTAGGAGATTCGAGTTCAGTTGAGAGCACTGTATTTTACTGCTTTTCCAGGACTCTAGTGATGTTCTAAATAGATAACAGCTCTTCTCATGTATAATCCAATTAGGGGGACAAGAGCTGGAAGGCACTTCCGGAACTCCTGGAAATAAAAGATAAGTATCATGAGGTTCATAGAATACCAATTCACTCTTTTGGTGCAAGTTCTGGTCATCTTAAGAACGAACACTTAATAAATAATCAGTGAGTTACCATTATATTTTTATACCACTTATATTTCATCTTAATTCAAACTATAGGGTTATGATTTTACAGAACAGAATACATTCAAATCTCTCTATTTAAAGTTTAAATTTAAAAGTAACTATAAACATTATTTTAGAGAGCCAACTATCCTTTCATTCTTTCTTCTTCTTCTTCATTTTTTATTTTTTTCAAACATGGTCTGTCTCTTTTGCCCAAGTTAGAGTGCACCGTAGCTCACTGCAGTTTTATTTATTTTTAATTTTTTTCAGACAGAGTCTCACTGTGTCACCCTCGGCAGAGGGCAGTGGCATCACAGCTCACAGCACTTCCAACTCTTGGGCTTAAGTGATGATCTTGCTTCAGCCTCCCAAGTAGCTGGGACTATATGCGCCCACCACAGTGCCCAGCTAGCTTACTGCAATTTTAAACTCCTGGGCTTAACACCTCTTAAGCCACAGCCTTCCCAGTAGCTGGGACTACAAGTATCAACTACCAACCATGGCTAATTTTTCTTTTCTTTCTTTTTCTTCTTTTTTTTTTTTGAGAGATAGGGTCTTGCTATTACCCAAGCTGGTCTTGAACTCCTGGCCTCAAGCAATTCTCCTACCTCTCAAAGTGCTCGGATTACAGGGGTGAGACTCAATGCTCAACTCTATCTATGTCTTCTTGACTTGTCTTTCATTCCTTCAAATCTGCCCAGAACTACCTTTCTCTATAATAACTTTTTAAAGTCAGTTCACTCAAAAATCAGTCATTAAGATACACTAGAATCTCAAGTGACTTATTTTATAATGTGAGATCCATTTCAGAATAAGGCTTTAAAAATAAAAAAAGTATAAGGACAGCTTGGCGCCTGTGGCTCAAGTGGATAAGGCGCCAGCCACATACACCTAAGGTG